TAACCCACTAATTTCTTTACTCATTAATGATTTTCCTTCTTTTCTTTGACATGGAGTCTTCACTCTGTCACCCAGGCTGGAGTGCAGTGGCTCGATCTCGGCTCACTGCAAGCTCCACTCCCGAGTTCACACCATTCTCCTACCTCAGCCTCCCTGAGTAGCTGGGATACAGGCGCCCGCCACCACGCCCGGCTAATTTTTTGCATTTTTAGTGAGACGGGTTTCACTGTGTTAGCCAGGCATGGTCTCCATTTCCTGACCTCGTGATCCGCCCGCTCGGGCTCCCAAAGTGCTGGGATTATAGGCGTGAGCCACCGCGCCCGGCCCGCTTTCTGCTTTAAATAAAGCATTTCTGGTTTATTGAGAAGGTCGGAGACTTATTGTTGAGAAGCTCTGTCATTCATAATTCAAAGCACCCGGGAGGCGGAGCTTGCAGTGAGCCGAGACTGCACCACTGCACTCCAGCCTAGGAGACAGAGCGAGACTCCGTCTCAAAAAACATAAATAAATAAAATAAAAATAAAAAATAAATTAAAAAAACAAAACAAGAGCTAAAGCTAAGAGGATGTACCTTGGATTTTATCATGTTTCCTGCTGGGTGGATGGGTTTTCATTCTAATTTTCACTTATCTGTATAATTGAGCACCTCTCCCTCTCCTCCCTCTCCTCCCTCCCTTCCCCTCCCCTCCCCTCCCCTCTCTCTTAGAAAAAGCAGCTCTGGAGGAGGGCTGACTGCCCGAGTCAGGTGTTAGGAGACCCGGGGCAGGGCTGGGTTCTCGTCCTGTCCAGTGTGCTTTCTACGACTTAGAGCAAGGCTCAGGAAACTTTTGCTACAGACAGACAGATAGTAAATGTTTTCAGTTTTATGGGCCATACAGTCTCTATCATAACTACACAACTTTGACAGTGTAGCGGAGAATCAGCCAACGGCAGCAACGTGAACAAATGAATGTGACCAAATGCCAATTAAAGCTTCATTTGTGGAGAGTAAACCTTAAAATGGATCATGAAACATTGTTCTTTAGTTTTTTTCAACTATTTAAAAATGCAAAATGGTTATTCTTTGTTCACAGGCTGTACACATTAGGCCATAGGCTGGACTCAGCCCGGGACCATTGACTGGGGGACTTAAAGGACACTTTTGACCTAAATCATCTCTATGGTTGTCACACGCTCTCAACTCTCAGTTCACATCGTGTCATCACTATACTCACCCTCTACTGCCTCCTTTTTTAAAATCTCATTTTCTATCCTAAAAAGTAAGATACAGTAAAAAGAGTGAAATATCCTTCTCTTCCCACCCATATTTTACCCTATATTTTCTTTCAACAACCTAGTGGGTCTTCGTCATGCAATTACTGCTGAAAAGCTCAGAACTTGAGACAGAAGCTACTTCAGCCTCACGGAGTCTCATGATCTCCACTCTGGCTGCTCTGCCACAGGGAAATAGAACTGGATGCTCCATCTTAACTTTTGTCCCCAAACCAAGTGCTGAAGATACCACGTTTTACCTTTCTATAGATGCCAAAAATGGTTCCAATGGACACAAGGCAATCGATGTTGGAAGATCCATCAAGGGGATCAAAACAGACCACATATTTACCCTGAGCACAGAAAAAAGAAACACAACCTTAAAATGTTGTAGCAAGATACACTAAGGAGTGTACATTAGGGAGTAAGAGTGGGAATTCAGAGGAAAGTTCAAAAAATGTGGGTCTTATTTATTTATACTCTGTCATGGAAGGTATGAAATGGCATAGAGAACGCACGGATACACACACACACGACGATTAAACAGAGAAAACACCACTTAGGAGGTGCGGATGAAGGGAATGGAATACAGATAAGTCATGATTTCCCACATTGTTGATACAGTCAAATCATAACTTTGCATTGAGTTTCCTGGCAGCCAAAGGGAAAAGAAAAGCAAGGTTAGTCACTCATTTTCCTTTATTCGTAAAGGAAAAAGCAATTCCTGAGGTGAAGCAGAGACTTCACTAGAGTTGAGACCTGTAAGAAACTTCTCGTGGAGGTCTTACAGATGCCCCTTGAGGTTGGGATGCGTAGAGTTTTCAAAAATATCCTGGCTGGGCACGGTGGCCCATGCCTAATCCTAGCACTTTGGGAGGCTAAGACGGGAGGATTACTTGAGCCCAGGAGTTTGAGACCAGCCTGGACAACATAGACTCCTTCTGTTAAAAAAAAAAAAAGTTCAATTAGCTGGGCATGATGCTGAACATCTGTAGTCCCAGCTACTCAGGAGGCTGAGGCAGGAGGTATCACGTGAGCCCAGGAGTTGGAGGCTGCAGTGAGCCACAACTGCGCACTCCAGTCTGGTGACAGAGTGAGGCCCTGTCTCTAAAAACAAAACTAAACAAAACAAATTTCTAGTGTAATTCCCAAAGGAGATAACTGGCAGTGGTAGTGGGACTACTGCAGATTCCTGCTTTGAGTGGGATTTTCAGTGGTGTGCAGGAGCTGGCTGGTATCAGCTCTCAGGAGCTAACCGTGCACATCTCTTCCCAGCTCTGCCTTCAGTGACGTCACATTGGTAGCTTAAAATTGACGATGGGAGAGTATTCACACCACTGACAGAGGCAAGGGGACGTATCAGAGACTTGTTTGCTTTGAGACGCAGTTTACCAGCACACCACTGGGAGTTTTCCATCTCCAAATTAGCCAGTTTCCAGTGTGGTTTTTAAATGTCTGTAGCAGATTCACATGATTCCCTGCCCTCTTGCTCTTCACAGACCTCTCTCACTAACGCAGGAGGAACTGGAACCGGAACACAGGAACCTGCCTGTCACGAATTGTCACGAAGGCCCATGGTAGACAGAGCAGCCCAGCGTGAGTGATGGAGAATATTAAACAACAAATCTAAGCTATATGCCTGACGCTGCCAAAGACCTTGAAAGGCCCAGCTGAGAAAAACATGAACTTCAAGTCTAGCATGTAGGGCTATTTTAGGAATGATGAAAAACAACTTCATCAGATGTGGCTCCTGCCCTCTTAACAGGGTGAGGACAGGCAGCCTCTTCATCTTCTCACTGTTCTTTCCTAATTCTACTCCTTCATGTTCCCAGTTCCTCTCAAGCTGAGAAAGATAGTAAGCCCATATAACTGTGCATCTAATCTCAGAAGTTTTGTTTTTTAATTACAATTGTTGTTTTGTAAAAGCTGGGAATACTCTTTCATTTAACAATCTTTTTCAACAGTCATTTGTTGTCGAGGCCCTCCAATGTGCCAGGCATTGCACTAGACACTGGGACACAGAGACAAATAAGATTCATTTTCTGCTCTCAAAAAGCAGAGACAAGGCCAGGTGCGGTGGTTCACACCTGTAATCCCAGCACTTTGGGAGGCCGAGGTGAGGTCAGGAGCTCAAGACCAGCCTGGCCAACATGGTGAAACCACGTCTCTACTAAAAATACAAAAATTAGCCGGGTGCGGTGGCGGGAACCTGTAATCCCAGCTACTCAGGAGGCTGAGGCAGGAGAATCCCTTAAACCTGGGAGGCAGAGGTTGCAGTGAGCTGAGATCACGCCACTGTACTCCAGCCTGGGCAACAAGAGCAAAACACTGTCTCAAAAAAAAAAAAAAAAGAAGAAAAAGAAGAAGCCGAGACCGACCACCAGGGACTCCAATGCACGCATCAGGGGTGGAAGTTTCCAGCAGTCCGGGCCAACAGGAGGGTCAGTGTGACGGTCAGGAATCTGGTGGATGGGGATGTAGTAAAAGAGATGGCCAACAGAAGCCAGGGTTTGAAGACCATTAAACATGGCAATAAAAAGTTAGAAATGGAGATGAGTTCATGGGAGTCCACTGGAGAGAGGGCAGCGTGAGCCACGGCGCTTATCTGCACAGTGGCGCAGGGAGGGTTCGAGAGATGGCAGCAATGAGGTGGAAGCTGTGGAAAGACTGCAGGAGGGATCTAGAGGGACTCCCAGAACCCAACTCCGCTAAACAAGTGCAGTCAGTTACGAAGCTGGGAAGAAAACCAGCTGCCTTAAAACCCTCAACGGTGGAAGTACGGACTCACCCTTTTCTCTGGTTCCACTATGATGGCGTGTTTATCTTCTTCTGACACGAGAACACACGTGGCAAAGGATGACTTTAACATGTTCATAACCAGGTCGTTGGAGAGGACGTCCAGCTTCTTAACTTGATCACCCGTCACATTGGTAGAACCAGCAATGCCATAGCTTCAGGGAACAAAAGCCACAAAAAAATAAGCCATGACCACCAGAGTATGTAGATGTGTCCATAAACCCACCAAAAGTGAGTGTTCGGTAAGATTTAGAAGAAAGGGTTCATGTCCTTTGCAGGGACATGGATGAAGCTGGAAACCGTCATTCTCAGCAAACACAGGAACAGAAAACCAAACACCGCCTGTTCTCACTCATAAGCGGGAGGTGAACAACGAGAGCACACAGACACAGGGAGGGGAACATCACACACCGGGGCCTGTCAGGCAGTTGGGGACTAGGGGAGGGAGAGCATTAGGAGAAATACCTAATGTAGATGACGGGTTGATCGGTGCAGGAAACCACCGTGGCATGTGTACACCTGTGTAACAGACCTGCACATTCTGCACATGTATCCCAGAACTTAAAGTATAATAAAAATTTTAAAAAAGGATTCAGAAGAAAGGAAGGAGGACACACAGCTTGGGAAAAAGAGGCAGGAAGGGCGGTGGTGCCTCTGGACAGACCCTAGAGAGGAGGAGATGCTACCACCCGCCTCTTCACCTCGGACCGGTCATGGTGCCCTACACGCTTTTGTGGTTAAATCGGTGTTTCTTAACTTTGTTTTCATTGTGGTTCCCCTAGGGAGCTTTTCAGAACATTTTTTCCTCAACCATACTCCCCCAAGAACATTTTTAATACTGCAGATACCGTGGGTATCTGTTTATTGCAGTACGTGTGTCCGCGCTTTTTACATAAAACGTTTGGGGGGTTTTCGGTTCTGCCCAGAAAGAACCAGTGTTGGCCCAAACACACAGGTTAAACAACTCAATACCGAGACCCAGCAAGCCTGGGTCGGGGGGAGCCTGAGTTTCAAGCCAAGCCAAGGGGTTTATGGCTTTATAACTACAAAGACCCTAAAAGAAGCAAGGCATCATTTCATAGAGGAGAACACTCAGACCCCAAGACTCCTGTGGGCCTCTCCACAGGCAGGGCGGAGGCGAGATGCTGCCTGTGACTCCCAGGCCAGAGCTCTCCTGGTGACACCCTGGGCCCCTGGCAGGAGTCCTGGGGCCTGGAAGTTCCAGGGATCCTGGAGTTTTCACTATTGTTAAGCTACCTGCAAGTCAGTAAGTGTAGAATTCCCAGAATCCAGTGGCTTGTCCAAATGCAGCCTGGCTTGTTAGACTGAGAAGCGGCAGGTTGTCAGAGCCTGGGGTCGCCCTGAACACAGAAAGGAGGGAGACGTCTCACAGGAAGGATGCACAGAGCAAGGAGAGAGCCTTGATGTGGGAAGGGAAAAAGATGGGTCTTTGAAGACATCAACAAGCCACTGAAAGTGGGTGTTAAGGGCACACCCACGCCCTTGGCCAGGATGGCGATGTGCACTCGCCTGGGAACTGACGCTCCCCAACCCAGCGGCCGTGGCTCGCCTGGGAACTGACCCTCCCTGACCCAGTGGCCGTGGCTGCTTCAGCTCCTGCAAGTACATTTGCCCAAAACATAACTCGCTGTGTCTGGCTGGGCAAAACTGAGCGTCTTCTAGAAACCGTCCAAACCCACGTGCCTGGGCCGGCCTGACTGTCTCAGGGGCTAGCTCCGGCTGTCTTCTCGTGCCCGCGTGTCAGCGTCTTTTGGCCACTCTTGGCATCATTCCCTTTCCAGCCTGCAAAGCGCGTCTCATCCCACTAGCCCTCCTCCTGCCGCTTCTCTTTTCACCCATTACTCCTATTTCATGAGTAAAAGACCAAGAGGTCTGTGGAGCTTTGAGCTGAACCCCGTGTCCCTGGGCTTTCGATTCTATTTCCACACAATCTTTTTCTCACCCTAGTTGTGAGGCTGGGGCTTGTGGAGGAAGAAGGTGCCAAAATCTGGGAGGCCAGAGGGACTTGGCAGGGCCCACCAGCTCAAAGGCAGCTCCCTCGGTGACCCCACTAGCGGCAGCGCTCGTCCTTCCCAGCCTGAGAGCTGCATTGTCAAAGTCACTTTATGATTATTGTTCTTTTTATTTTTTATTTTTTGGAGACAGTGTCACTCTGTCATCCAGGCTGACGTGCACTTGTGTGATCTCGGCTCACTGCAACCTCCACCTCCCAGGTTCCGGCCTCACCCTCCTGAGTAGCTGGGACTATAGCCGTAAGCCACCATATCCAGCTGATTTTCGTATTTTTAGTACAGACAGGGTTTCACCATGTTGGCCAGGCCAGTCTCGAACTCCCAACCTCAAGTGATCCACCCACCTCAGCCCCCCAAAGTGCTGGGATTTACAGGCATGAGCCACCATGCCCAGCCCACTGTCAAAGTCACTTCTGATTCCGGAGGGCAAATAGCACCGATGGACCAGGGGGAGGGCTTCAAGGCAGAGACCAGGTCCAGGTCTCAGCTCCCAGGCTCCCCGTCCTCTCTGAGCCTCCCTCCCTTTCGCTCGTGTCCAAAGAGGGAAGTGAGGTCCGCCCCGACGTGGCTGTCAGAGGATCACATGAGATACACAAAAGGCTTAGCACTAATAGGCGCAGCCCGACAGGGACAGCTCAGGGGCCGAGAGGGCTGGGCAGAGGGCCCGAAGGCACCGGACGCAGATGAGGCACTGAGGCAGGTGCGGAAGGAAAGTCCTATATTACGCTTTGGTCCAAGTCCCATCTGCTCAGGCACTTCCCTCAGGAACACTCAGGCCATGGTCTCTTTTACTCAAAAGCTTCCTAGACAGCTGTCTGAGTGCTCACTTATTCCACAAATATTCACTGGGGACCTGCTGTGCACGGGGAACCGTTCTAGATGCTGGGGTTACGGTGCTGAACACGGTAGATAAGATCCCGCCCTTATGGAGGGTATATTCTATTGGGGTGGGACAAACAAGAAATAAGTAAGTGTTTTCAATGAAAAAGATACGTCAGATAGTGACAGGTGCTCGCTGACATAAAACAAATCAAGGTGACAGGAAAGGGAGATGAGAGGGTACATGGTTAATTTAGAGGGTCAGGAAGATCTCACTGCAAAGGGGGCATTCAAGCTGAATGGCATTTTGAATGTTTTTCATAAGAATGGGAGGAAATAGGCCGGGCACAGTGGCTCATGCCTGTAATCCCAGCACTTTGGGAGGCCAAGGTGGGTGGATCAAGAGGTCAGGAGATCGAGACCATCCTGACTAACACGGTGAAACCCCGTCTCTACTAAAAATACAACAAATTAGCTGGGCCTGTAGTCCCAGCTACTCGGGAGGCTGAGGCAGGAGGATGGTGTGAACCCGGGAGGCGGAACTTGCAGTGAGCCGAGATGACGCCACTGCACTCCAGCCTGGGCGACAGAGCAAGACTCCGTCTCAAAAAAAAAAAAGAAAAGAAAAAAAGGAATGGGAGAGGAAATGGGCCAGGCGTGGTGGCTCACACCTGTAATCCCAGCACTTTGGGAGGCCAAGGCGAGTGGATCACCTGAGGTCAGGAATTCAAGACCAGCTTGACCAACATGGTGAAGCCCTATCTCTACTAAATATATAAAAATTAGCTGGGTGTGATGGCGCGTGCCTGTAATCCCAGCTACTTGGGAGGCCGAGGCAGGAGAATCCCTTGAACCCAGGAGGCGGAGGTTGCGGTGAGCCGAGATCGCGCCATTGCACCCCAGCCTGGGCAACAAGAGCGAAAACTCCATCTCAAAAAAACAAAAACAAAGAATGGGAGGAAATGAAAAAGCCCTAAAGGAGCCCAAATAAGTCAGCTGGTAACGACTCCAGAGAAGAGCGGCGTGTTAGCAATTGAGCCAAAGCAAACAGTCAGTTCATTTTTCACATATTTCCAGATGGAGGGGAGTGGGTCCTATGTGCACATTTATACAAGTGATTTTGTAAAGCCTGACTTTTTCCTGTGATGCCTGGATCCAGGAAGCATCTAAATTCAGAGAGGAGACCTGGGGGAGAAAGTCCTTGTGAGGTGGCTCCGATGTACAGCACTCCCGGGCCAGCCCCACCAGCCAGGGAGAGACAAGTTATCCTGTAACCGTGTCCTAAACACAGGGGCACCGTGACTTGTTTTGTGGGATTAAATGAAAGTAGGCTATTTCCTGATGCGCTGGACCGCATTTTCTGAGCTTGCAGACTCAGCAGTTGGCCAGATTAAAGTGAGAAGTAACTTCTGTTGCCCCAGATCATGCCCAGGCCTACGAGAGGTTACAGTCGGTGTCAGGGTGGGAGACTTGGCAAATCATGACCACCAGCCAGGCCTCCCCACTGCAATCCAGGAGTCTCAGATGGTTCCTATCCTTGGCACACAGAGGAACCAACACAGAGAAGCCGAGGGCTACAGAAGGGATGGTACACCCTGTTCACGATAGGAGGCTTATGGGGCCGCACAGCACTCTGGAAGGATGCATGGCACAGGGTCCTCAGCACCTGCATGGTCAGGGTCACTCACATCCACCAAGCCATGCAGGGCCCTCACCACAGCACTGACGGGGCCGCCGGTGTCCAACAAACCACGCCAGACCCTCACCACCTGCACGGATGGGGCCTCCCGCATCCACCAAGCCATGCAGGGCCCTTACCACAGCACTGACGGGGCTGCCCGTGTCCACCAAACCACGCAGGGCCCTCAGCACCTGCACAGACGGAGCCACCTGCGTCCACCAAAGTACACAGGCCCCTCAGCACCTGCACGGACAGGGCCACCTGCGTCCACCAAACCCCGGCAGGAAATGGGCTCCACCTGCTCCAGGTTTCCATGACGCCACTGGGTGGCGACAGATGTGTTAACTGGTTCCTGCCCCTTTCTTTACCCCCAGTAAGGGTCTCTCCCGTCTTCCAGCACAAGGACGCTTCACCAGCTGTCCTCAGTTGTCTTCGAAGTGTAAAAGAACACACGAAGACAGATTACTCTGGGCCCCTCCAACTCAATGTTCACATACTTCATAACTTTGCTAAGATATCTTGGGGGAGGCTTCTCCTGGTTAATCCTGGCATTATGAAACCTTCCAGAAAAGCACAGGAAAAGGATCCTAAGGTAGAAACAGTGAGTGGATCGAGAGAACGA